AGTGTTGGTGGCCCAGTGATCTCAAACTATTTTAGGCAACAGAACCATTCAGGAGCTAACATTTGTAGGCATAGTTGCTATGGGTGATAAAAGCATTATCTTGTGCCTTTATGGGCCTGAGTCGATTGGAGGAGGGGAATGGAAAACTCTGGAACAATGATGGACAATATGAAGTCCTATGTTTTAATATATCTGAATATGGTGGAAAGGTAGCTCTAAAATGCAAATATGGGATAATGGACTAGGTAACTAGGTAACCCTTCCACCAAAATCAATTTATTTTAAAAGCCAGGCAAGCGGCAAAGGAGGGCGGGTGGGTTTGGAGAACTAGCAAAAGAGAGAGAAATGTCTAGAGTAAGATTTAGAAAAGATGAAAACCCAAAAAGAAAGTCCTGCATTGGGACTGTTTTTTGTCTGGGGGGCTTTTCCTACCAATTCTTGAAGCAATGAAGAGGCTAAGACATTTATTAATTTTTTGAGATCTTCAAAGAGCCAGAAAAGTAAATAGTGAAATCCAGAGCCCAGAAATGAAGTAGGAGGTAGATTTGGTAAAACACCCTTTGCCTCACTTTGGACCCTAGAGAGCAGTACCCTAAGGACAAGGATGTACCATAAGTAAATCAGCTCTTGCAAGGTCTGCAATGGATTTGAATCATCTCAGTCCCTGAAATTGGATTAAGATGACCATATATGAATATATAAATTATAAATACCCATGCATACATGCATATATGCAGACACACATATACCTCTACACATACATAATTATACATGTATCATACAATCTACCCTTAACCATGCCATAGTATAATAGCTGAAAGTCAAAGAAAAAGAGAAAAATTTGAAATCAGAGAAGAAATTGCCCTGAGAGTAATCTCAAAGGGTAATACTAAATTTCACAGATAACTTCTCGGTGGAAAGAAAGGAATGCTACATATAAAGAATTATATCTTGCAAAAACTGAAAGAAAGTAACTGTCAACTTAGAATTCTACCTCCAGCAAAAATAGCCTTCAAAAATAAAGCTGGAATGATGATATTTTAAGCAACCAAACTGAAAAACTATGCCACCCAACAGATCTTACTCATACTAAAAGTCATTCTCTGGGCAGAGGGCAAACATCCCCGATGGAAGCTCAAAAGTGCAGAAAGAAGTGACAAGAAACTGAAATATAAGAATGTGCATGAGTGCAAATATATACTGACTATATAACAATAATAATAACATCTTGTGAGATTTAGAATTAAAATGTGCAATAATAATCACCAGTAAGTCTTCAGTGTGGAATCAGGGAATGGAGTTGGAAGGAGGAAACCTGTATTAGAATGTTCTAATGTCTGCATTGTCCAAAAGGAGACAAAATTACCAGTTAAAGTTAGATTCGGATACCTAAAGAACGCATGTTGTATACTGTATGCTGGTGAACCTCGAGAGTGACTCTGGCATGTGTATCTTCTAAGCCAACAGAGGAAAAGAAGGAATAATATAAAGTGCTCAATCAATTCAAAGTAGTCCAGAAATGAAAGAAAGTGGGATTTGGAACAGGCAGAACCAATAGGAAATGCTGATGGAATTAAATGTATAAGTGATTATATAAATACAATGCAATCAAAAGGCAAAGAAGACTGGATTAAAAAATACAACTCTGCACTTTTTACAAAGGACAGATCATTTTTAAACACAGGAACACATTTAAAATATCTAGGTTAGCTTAAAAATAAAGGGATAAACCCTATGATCCAGCAATCGCACTACTAGGTATTTACACAAAAGATGCAAAAGTACAGACTGAAAGGGGTACATGCACTTCAGTGTCTGTAGCAACATTATCAACAATAGCCAAACTATGGAGTGAGCCCAAGTGTCCATGGACTGATAAATGGATAAAGAAGAGGTGGTATATATATATATATATATATATATATATATATATATATATATATATCACAATGTGCTATTACTCAGTCATCAAAAAGACTGAAATCTTGCCATTTGCAATGATGTGGTTGGAGCCAAAGTGTATTATACTAAGTGAAATAAGTCAGTCAGAGAAAGACAATACCATATAATTTCACTCATATGTGGAATGTAAGAAACAAGACAGATGAACATATGGGAAGGGGGGAGAGAGAGAAACAAACCATATGAGACTTTTAATGATAGAGAACAAACTGAGGGTTGATGGAGGGACGTAGGTGGGAGATGGGCTAAATGGATGATTGGGATTAAGAAGGGCATTTGTGATGAGCCCTGGGGTATTAAATGTAAGTGATGAATCACTAAATTCTACTTCTGATATCCAATATTACACCGTATATTGACTAACTAGAATTTAAATAAAAATTTTTAAAAAAATAAATTCCTACCTAAATAAAAAAAAAGTGAAAGAATAGAGCTATCCCATGCAAATACTTCCAAAAGAAAGCTGATTTAACATATTAATGTCAGACAAAGTAGTCTTTTAGGCAACAAGAGATAAAGAACGATGTTTTATAATGAAACATATATTTCAGTTTGGCCAGAAGATGTAACAATTCTAAATTTGCATTCATCTAATACATGGCCTGAGAATATGTAAGCAGAAACTGACAGAATCATTTTTTTAAATGGTTAAATTCACAATCAAAATGGGAGATTTTAATACTACTCTCTTGATAGAATAAACTAGCTAAACATATCAGTAAGAATACAGAAAATTCGAATTACAAAATTAACCAAGTGAGCTGCTAGTATATACAGAATAGTGTATTTGAAAGCTGCAGAATATACATAATTTTAAGGACATGTATAACATATAAAGAAGTTGCAAACTATATAAATAAAATGTAGAAATTAATAACAAGATTAAATTAAGAAACATACTTCTAAATAGCCAATAGTTTAGAGAAGTAAGAACAGGAATTGAAAAACATTTTGAACTGAATGATAAGAAATCTACACATAAAATTAATGGATGCATTTATAGCCCTGTAAGGGGGAAATGTGTAGATTTTAATGTATAGTTTAGAAAAGGAAGATGATAAAATCAAGGCTCTAAGCATCCATTTTATAGTGAGAAAAATGAGTTCCAGGTGGATTGCCTATCCATTGTGAAAGATAAAATAGTAATGTTTCTAAGAGAAAATAAAGAATATATTCATGACCCTGGTGTAGTCTAAGATTTTTAAATAAAACAAAACAAAAACACACACCAGCTATAAGGGAACTGATTGATAGCTTCAACTACATTGAAACCACCTTCTGTTTCTGAGCAATAACATAAATTCCCAGTGAGGAAAGATAATGCAATATAGAAGTAACAAAGGGCCCGTATATAAAATATATTTTTTAAAAAATCTTCAAACCAGCAAGAAAAAGAGAAACACTCAATAGAAAAAATAGGCAAGTGATTTGTATAGACACTTCATAAAAGAGAATATACAAGTGGTTACCCAGGGAAATACAATTAAAACCACAATAAGAGACACCTGAGTGGCTCAGTCAGTTAGGTGTCTGCTTTTGGCTCAGGTCATGATCCCAAGGGTCCTGGGATCGAGCCCCAAATTGGGCTGCGTGCTCAGCCAGGAGTCTGCTTCTCCCTCTGTTTCTGCCCCTTCTCCCCACTCATGCTCGCTTTCTCTTGCTTGCTCTCTCTCTCTCAAATAAATAAATAAATTCTTTAAAAAACACACACACAATAAGACACCACCCCATATTGACCAAAATGAATACAATTAGAAAAGCTGATTATAGCAAATGTTGGCAAGGTTGTGGAGCCATGGGAGCTTTCAAGCAATACAGATGCAAGCATAAATCATTATCTACTTGAGAAAACAGTTTGGCATTTTTGGTTAGTTGAAAATACGAATGCCCTCTAATCAAAAATCCCAGTCCAAGGTGTATGGTCAACAGATATTTACCATGAACAAGAGTGTTCACTGAAGCATTATTTCAATAATCTGAAACTGAAAACAGGCTAAATATCCATCAGTAGTAAATGAATAAATAAATATTGCATATTTATACAATGGAACATTAAATAATAAGGAAAATGAATGAATTTCAGATGCATGCAGACAGACAGATGACTCCTAAACAAAATGTTAAACAAAGAAATGAGCTGCACATACCAAAAACATACTGTTTCCACTTACATAAACTTTAATAAAGAAAACTGAACCATAGGATCAAAAGATGCATCTTTAAGTGGCAAAGCTATAAGGGGAGGATTGAAAATGGTCCCCATAAAAGTCAAGAAATGGTCATGTTTGGCAAAAAAAGAGAGAGAGAGAGAGCAGATTATGGTTTAGAAGGGAAGACAGAGGGCCTCAGGGATTCTGGCAATATTCTATTTCTCTACCCAAGTGGTGGTCCCACATTGTTTGCCCTATAATGATTTTTACAACCTGATTTTTTTATATTTTCCATTTTGTGTTTTTTTCTATATGTGTGTATTATTTCATATTAAAAGGATACATGCATACATACCTCTATGCATACATACATAAAATCTGATTATGCAAGCGGATCCTCTTGCCTTCCGGTTAGACTTTAATCTATTTACCTCAGCTTCAAGGCCGGAAGTTTACCCCAGCCTACCCCACTAACCTTGTCTCTCTCCTACTCACACTTAACATCTACTGTTACAGTCACAGCAAACTAACTGCAGCTTCCAGAACATGGCAGCTCACATCTTTCTGCCTTTTGCAAATACTGTTTTTTAATTTACTATTCTCTCCCCATCCTCACTCACCTGACTTTTCAAGAGTTGCTTCTTCCTGGAAGTTTTCTTCTCTTCCTGTAGGTGATATATGGGCCCGCAATTCCCCTGTGATGACATTTCTGTTCACTTCTTTGATTCCCACAGGACAGTGTTCTTTGAAAGCAGAGAATATTTCGTATGTACCTTTATGTCTTTTGAGCCTTAGTCAGGGCCTGACGTGTGGTAGATGGTCCAGAAATATTTACCAACGAATGAATAAAAACAACAGTGACAATTTTATCCTTTCTGTGTTACCCAGGTGGATAACAAAAAACTGGATTTAGAGAGCAAAGACATTGAAAGCATTGATGCCACCAAATTAAGCCGTTTCATTGAGATCAACAGCCTCCACTTGGTGACAGAGTACAACCCTGTGGTAAGCAATAGCACTTGTCTCCAGACCCTTAAGTTCCTGTGTTAGAGAGGGTACTTGTCTCCATAGCAGAGATCCCTTCCTCCAGGAGTTCTAATCCTTTGACCAGTAACTGCCATTATTGTCGTTTATGTTGCTATCCTTACTACTACCCTTTATGCTTGACAGAGTTGTCCCTATTCAAAAAAGAAAGAAATGGGGTTAAAAAACTTTAATACCCATCAGGGGATGCCTGGATGCCTCACTTGGTTGGATATCCGGGTCTTGGTTTCCGCTGAGATTGTGATCTCATGGGTTATGGGATTGAGCCCCCCACATCTTGCTCTGAGCTCAGCATGGAGTCTGCTTGGGATTCTCTCTCCCTCCCACATGCGCTTTCTCTCTCTCTCTCTCTCTCTCTCTCTCTCTCTCTCAAATAGGCAAATAAGTCTTTTGGAAGGAAGGAAGGAAGGATGGAAGAAAGGAAGGGAGGACGGACCCTTAAATACCCATCAGACGACTAGTAAGAAAGAGAGCCAGAATGCAAAGTCAAGATGACGGATTCAAAAACTTCTGAGTTTTGCTGCCTGGGAGGGCTCACTAAAGGCAACTCATCCAAGCAATCCTCTAGACCACACTTTTCAACAAAATCGCAATCTCTGCTGAAGGTCCACGTTTTTCCAAAAGCATTCAAGACCAATACGTTGGTAAAATACAATGAAAGTAAATTAATAGACAAAATATTAAAAAATAAGGCCCACTGATCACATATTTGGATGTCACAGCAATGTAACATTCTATAAAACTTTTAAAACCTTCCCCTGCCTACTAGTGGACCAGTAACTGACAGCTCCCGGCCTGGTACCTCCTGCGCATGCCTACACCCTCCCGGTGTTGGCTTTCCCTCTAGGTTTGTCTTCTTCCGGTGTTGCGCGCTGCATGCAAACCGGGCGAAGGTGAGGATCCATCTGTTCTGATCATCTTCTGCTCTTCTAACGCTCTACAGCCTCTACAGGTACCTTCTATGCCCGGTCTTTTACATTCCCTGAGGCAGATAGTAAAGTGATAGAATATTAATTTCCACTGACTTCCTCAGTTCAGAAATGCTGTACGTTCTCTACTAACACTTGAGAATGCACGTCTTGAGTTTTAGAACTCCCAAAGCCATTTCACACCCATTTTCTCATTTAATCTTCACGTTGCCATTTTGAGGTGGGAGAGAGAAAACGATTATGCCCGTTTTATAGAGGAGCACATTTAAGATGCAAGTGACGTGTCTGGGATCCCATAGTAAGCCGGAAAGGCACTGTGGAAGGCAGGAAGTTTAGCTGACACATTAGTTTCTATTGTCTATTTCCATTTTCCAGGAGAAGAAAACAGGGTTCAGAAAAGTGGCCTAACTTCCTCAGGGCCGTATGACTAGCTGTTCAAACTTCAGACACAGCCCTTTGCACTTGTCCCTGCTTTTTTTTATGACTCGTTTGTCTGACTGAATCCTGTGGTTTTTCCTTTGCCCCACACAGCCTTCAATAGGAAACACCCCTTTTCCTGTTGACTAAATTCCTCTCCACCTCCCACACCACATTTGTCTTCATGGAGTGGTGACTCCATTTCCACTTTTGCTAAGATTCCAAACACATGCACCCCAGGGGTGTTGGCAGCAATAATCAAACAGTAATTTTTCTCCTAGACTGTCATCTTTCTCATGATTATGTCTGTAGAGGTCAGAGTTCCTGGGTTTCTGGCCCCAGGGTCCTGGAGTTCTGCACACAAATGAAGGTAGGGGCGAGGACTGGCCTTCCTGAGCTCTTAGGACTGGGCTGTCTTGTCTCTTACAAAATACTGACACTGTTTTTAAAATCCACATTAGTAGTGAAGGCAAATCACATCAAGAAGAAATTAGATAAGAATTTCTTTAGAGAAGCAAGTCCAACTTTTACTGTGACTTTTTCATTTCCCAAAAATGATATTTTTCTCATTTGGATACCTGCCCCCACTACTATAGCTATTTCTTACCTGCTGATGATGCAGAGGTTTGCACAGTGACAACGACGGGGCAGAATTCATGACCATGTATTAAGCTGGCTCTGTGCTATTTTTTTAAAGATTTATTTATAAATTTGGTTGGAGGGGGTGGGGCAGGAGCAGAGAGAGAGAGAGAGAGAGAGAGAGAAAGAGTCTTAAGCAGACACTGCACTAAGCATGGAGCCCAATGCAGGGCTTGATCTCACAATCCTGAGATCACAATGTGAGTTAAAACAAAGAGTCAAAAACTCAACTGACTGAGTCCCCCAGGCACCCCCACCCCCAGCTGTATACTTTGAATGCATACACTCAATACTTGGTTTCAGGGTGAAAAATTAGACTGTGTCTATTAAGATTAAATTACTCACTTCTGATTAAAAATTCAATTTAATTTAATTTAAAAATTTAAAATTTAAAAAAAATTTTTTTAATTAAATTAAATTAAAATTAAATGTCTTCTGCTAAGACAGCTGTACCTTTTGACTCCTTAGCTTTGATTTCTTGAATTCCCAAAAATATCCTCCATCTCTGCCATGGGAGGACAGATGCATACCTTACATTTTAGTAGCAGGACTTAGTAAAACAAGAGATGGCTGTTTAACATCCAGTCTCCCAAATTTAAAATCTAAGAACTGGCTTTGAACTCCAGGAGAAACTTTTGGGAAAGAACTCATTGAACTCTCCTTGCCTACAGGTTGGCCAATAGAGCTGGATCACTACAGAGCAGCGTGTAGCTTCCAGAAGCCTACCTAGCTGCTGCCTTTCCCATCATTCTGGAACTCTGCCTTGACAGTTCATTAATCTTCTGCACTCTCCCTCTTCCCGTACACATGCCAGTTTTACAGCAGCACTTTCTGCATTTAGGAGGGAGAAGTGGGGAGGGATGGGATTTGTTTAAAACAGAGACACATGGAACAAGCCAGTGCCATTGTTTCACGCTCTCTCCTCCCCTCATCCTGGCGCACAGCTGTCCTGCTCCCCTTCATCACCAACAACTTCACAGGAAATCACCCTCTCTCATCAGCAAATAAAGGGCCAATGCTTCCAGTCTCCTGAAAGGCTTATCTTTTTGCCAAGGTTTGAGGTAGATGGCTTCCAGCGGAGTCGGTTTAGATGGGGTGTTGCAATGAGCTATATGCATAAGGCATATCCTGATGGTCGAGAGCCTGGACTCTGGAGCCAGACTGCCTGGTGTGACTCCCAGTCTGCCACTTATGTGACTGGGAGAGTTTGTGCCTCAATTTCCTCATTGATAAACCTGAAACTTTGAGGATTCCGTTAGTTATATATAAAGACCCAGAAACAGTGCCCAGCACTTGATAAGCATTCAAAGGTGTATGTGACTGCTCTTGGAACAGGAAGAGGGACTGATAAAAGTAACCGAAGTGTGACATGGTGTATTCATTGTCCATTGATGTATAACAGATTGCCTCCAATGTATCAGCTTAGAACGTAAAAATTGATTCTCTCCCACAGTTTCCGTTGGTTAGCAATTTGGGAGTGGCTAGGTTAGGGGCTTCTGATCTCGAGGCTCCTGCCATCCTGGGTCAGAGAGGCAGTCATCTGCAGGTTTGACAGGAGCTAGGCGATCTGCTTCTGGAGGCTGGTAAGTTAGAGCTGGCTGTCAGTGGGAGGTCTTAGCATTGTGCTGTCTGGGTCTCTTCGCAAGACTGCTTGATTTCTCACACTGGGACTGGCTTTCCCCAGAGTGAGTTACAGAAGAGAGAATAAGCAGAATAAGGCGGAAGCCCCTACATCACGTATGACTTAACCTTGGAAGTCACACACCATCGTTTCTGCAATATCCCTATGGTTATTCCGCTCAGCCTTATCCAGCGTGAGCAGTAGGGAGCTACACAGTGGCGTGAGAGCCAGAGGCTGAGACCTTCTGATGGCCAAGTTGGAGGCCAGTTACCATTTGTGTTATGGGTGGACAGCTCTCATTCATATTTCTGCCTACTTATTTACTGGGTTGCTACTAATGTGTCTTTTTTTTCTCTTTGTCTCTTTCATTCTACTATAATACACCTCAATTTGCCAGACAGCAATTGGTCTATTTAATAGCATGATCCAGATTCACCTTTTACTGATGATGAACAAGGCCTCCCCAGAGTATGAAGAAAGTCTGCACAGATACCAGAAGGCAGCCAAGCTCTTCCAGGGAAAGGTAAGTCTGAGATGGGAGATACCCTTCTAAGTACTCAGTATCAGGACAGAGGACACTGAAAAGGGGGAGATGGGTCCAGGGAGATTAGGTAAATGAGGAAAGTGAGTATTTTTAAGAGATAACAAAGTAAGAATGGGGACATAATGAATCACACTACTCTGATTTAAAATTAAGGGTCTATTTTATACTGTTAAAGACCTATATAACCATATTTTCCCTTGGTGGGAAGTCTACATTTTTTTCCTGCATTAGGAAGTGGAGAGAAAAATAGAGACCCATAGAGGCTAAAAATAAAAATCCCCTATTGGTCACAAGGTATTTATTCTTTGCCACAACCTCTTAAAGTTTTAGACTCAGGACTTATTTCTCATGTAAAGCACCTATCACGTACCCAGTGTCTACTAGATATCCAATAAATATTTAGTTCTGCTCCTTCTCTACCTTGTGCAGCTCTATTTGGTATCACTGAAATAATAAATCTTCAACCGCCTCAAAGCCACTTCATTAAACTGGAACTTTTCAATGTTGACAAGTGTCTGGTGGTAACATAAGCTGGCTTTCAGGTGACTTTCTCTAACACTGGAAGTTTTCAGTGTTTCTGAATGTAAATGATCCTCTAACAACATTCTAAAGGTTTCTATTTTGGGTAGAAGATTTGATTTAATTATGTTAAATAGTTGACATTTATCAGGCATTTATCAAATGCTGAAAACCGTGCTGGACATATTAAATGGATCCTCTCCTTTAATTTCCCCCAACAAAAGCCTGTTTTGCCAGTGAGAATACTGAGTCTCAGAGAGGCTGAGTAACGTGCCAAAGTCACACAGCTAGAGTGTCCCAGAAGTGAAATTTAAAATGTATTATCTGCTTCTAACCATTAGGCTATACTTGCATATTTAGCTAATCACTAAAGCTGTTTCCAATTCTGTGTTCTTAAAATTAAATAAACCTGATCAAAGGGATAAAACACCAAAGCAGAGAAACCTATTAAAGAAGAAGAAACTCGTTAAATTATAGGGCACAGACCACACGTGCAGTCAGTGTAAACAGCAACAATTATGAGGTGTCTCTTTCTCCTCTGGACCTCAGATAGATTTTTTTTTCCCCCTTTCAAACCTCTCCAACTGCAGATTCTTTTTATTCTGGTGGACAGTGGTGTGAAGGCCAATGGGAAGGTGATCTCATTTTTCAAACTAAAGGAGTCTCAACTGCCCGCTTTGGCAATTTACCGGACTCTGGATGAGGCGTGGGATACACTGGCCATTACAGAACTTTCTGTGGAGCGTGTGCAAAACTTTTGTGATGGATTCCTCAAAGGGAAACGGCTGGTAAGTGGAGACTTCAGGTACAGCAAGCTGAGTTTTCCTCTCTGTGTCTTCTTATTTCCTGTTAAGTAAAAAGTCTTTGAGTTTTACTGGTTTTGATTAAGAGCAACAGTACATGGGGATATATGACGGAGAGGATCGGGATGCTTGCCAGGGTAGAGTCATGAGAACAGAGCTACACATGCATCTTTGAAAACATCTCGCATATTCAAAGGAGCTAAATTTGGGGTTTTACCATTCTGTTGACATTATTAATGGGAAACAACCCAAATTCCTATATACTAGAGTTCATGAGATAAAAATTAAGGATGGATTTAGGACTTCCAGGAGTCATTAAATAGCTCAGTTTGCTAATCTCGGAGCTCAAAACCAAGTGTGGGTTCCAAATCTAAGTAACAGTGTCATCATGTTTTTCAGAGAGAAAATCAGGCATCAGAAGAAAAGACTTCAAAGGTGGAACTCTGATCTCTCCCTGATACTTCTGCATACTACCAAGTATTTACATGAAATTAAAAAAAGGCAACTCAAACCTCAGAGACACGAAACGACAGGATCGCCAAGACTTAAACACACACATATGCACCCACACACAGCTCTCTGGTTTTTTTTTTTCCTTAAAATCTCATTTATCTCCTTATCCTTTCTTTTAAATTGTCTGCACTCTCTCACTACCCATCCAGTCTTCTTCTATGCATTCACACTGTGTAGTCCCATACACCGCAGCACACACCACTGAATGGCACCTTGAACAGAACTCCTGTGATACCTCTTTGAAGGGGAGACATTTCTGGAGAAGGTTTTTCTGATTTGTCGCTTCCTATTGAATCTGCACACTGCACAGGTCTTACACGCACCATAGATTCTGTCCTTTTATGGTTAGTAACGGGTAGAAAGCTCTCTTCCTAAGCACATGTCCCTTTCTAACTCAGGGCCAGGAACAAAAGGACGGTTTTAACCACCTTTCTGGAATTGTCTTTTTGCCAGAGTCAAATGATGTTTCCAAGTCTCCAAACTCAGCAGAAACAGGCTATGTAAAAAAAATCCTATGCTTGTTTAGCATTCCTAACTCCCATGTAAATCAACAATCGCCCAGTAAATAAAAAGCAATAATGTTATAGGAGAAGACTGGCATCTCTTTGCAGGCTGAACCTTTGGTAAATACCCAGCTGCCCAATTAAGCAGTAGGTACCTCCCCCTTTGGTGCCCACTGTTTAGTGTCCGGCCACGAGCCACTAATGTGTTATTATTGTTAACTCCGTGGGTGGGATGGGAGGTGGGTAGAGACCATCCTGCATGAGGATTGGTATAAATGTGGTGAAAGAGCTGGGAATCAACTTAGGTCAAATGTTGGGGACTAGGTAAGGAAGGGGCCACTTGGTGCTGGGGCCTGCTGGGGCTAAGGGTGGATTATTGCAGGTGGGGTGTGCAGGGCGGCCTATGTGAGGGAGAGGGAGAGTCTGGCCAGCGTCTCTGGCCCCCAGGCTATTACTGTCAACACACAGACACTACATTGTTCCCAGGAGGCCCTTGGCTCTGAAGGAAAGAGCCTAAGTGCTGAAGATCTGAAAAAAAAACAGTGTATACCTAAGGATTGGTCCAAGGGACGAACAGGGAGTGAAAGGCTTAGTTGTTTCTTTCTGCGGGAAAAACCCCACAGCCTCTGAGCTGGGAGTGGGCAGCTGGCAGAGGCTGTAAAGCAGGAGTGCATGGCACACCTCTCAGCAACATGAGACTGGTGCACTGTGGGGAGGCCATCCAGCCCATCCTCGGGGCTGCAGGAAACCACCCAGTCTCTCGCTGGAGGCTACAAAATAGTCCTAGGGTAGGCACATCCCAGAAGCCTCCCTTTGATCCTGAGAACCAGTACTCTTGACATTTACGGTCAGGAAATTCTTCCTGATACCCAGCGGAGGTCCTCTGGCCACACAGACTCATTTCTTCTCACCTGTTGCCCATGGAAATTCGTAACAGCGGCCAATCACCACCATCTCCAAGTGATACCTCCAATGCTTGCTGGTTGCCCTTGACCTCCTGATGCGTCTTCTTTTCTCCATACCGGCAGCCAACTTATTTCCAAGTCACTTGATTAGCTTTCTTATTTTTCTCTCTTCCCTCTTTCTCAACTTTCCTTTTTCCTTCTTATTTTTTTGTTTAAAATGGAGGATTCTAAACGACTACAGGAATTTGGTAAATGTTAAAAGACAAATTCCCAGGAGCTATAGTTTGTTCCACATTGGGTTGATTTGTCAAATATTTTCTTTAAAGTATTTCCCCCAATAACTATAGTCAACACTGACCATGTCTTTATAGGGCATTTTGCTGCTTGATGACATGTGATAGCAACTTTATTACATACTGCCTTTTTTTTTTTTGGCTTATTTTTATCTTTATTGTATTGAACTGAATTGTTCCTTCAGTCTGTGGGTCCCCAAAACTACAGGATAGTTTTCCCTGTCTTCTTCACAGCTAATCTGTTCTTTGTAGCTCTGATGACTCATGACCAAAGAATGGAATTCTTACAGAAAGAAGAGATTTCTAAAGTTTCTCATTCATTCACTGAATATCAGATTTAGGATTGTAAAGTGCTTCAATTTCTAGATCTTCTCTATCTTCGAGAAATATCTTTCCTAAGATTCTACCTTCATTTCTCCAATGCCATGTTATTGTTGAAATACCTAGGTATATCTTAACTACTTTTCACTATGGACTCATTTTTTTTTTAAAGATTTTATTTATTTATTTGACAAAGATCACAAGTAGGCAGAGTGGCAGGCACAGAGAGAGAGGAAAGGAAGCAGGCTCCCTGCTGAGCAGAGAGACCAATGCGGGGCTCGATCCCAGGACCCTGGGACCATGACCTGAACTGAAGGCAGAGGCTTTAACACACTGAGCCACCCAGGCGCCCCTGGACTCATTTTTTAAAGTATGAAGAAATTACCATACTTTAAAGTGTGAAGAAAGCCATGATGTTCTACGGCAGAACGTTGTAAAAGATACTGAAGGATTTGGAAGACTTTGATAGAAGGCATAGAAACAGGGCACGATTCAGAGAAATCACAGGAAAATTGATGTTTGAGTCTCATCTCTTCCGTGTATGTGGTTTTGTGACCTTGGAAAACACCGTCTTTGAATTTCAGTTCATTGAGGATAATAAAATGACAGGATTTTTTTAAGATCCAAAATTGATAATACATATGAAATAAAGTCTGTCATTACCTTTATTTTTTTAACTTAATACTACACTGCCTTCTCTGGGTAGTAGCTATTTCTACTAGCTACTAGTATCAGAATATCAGAACTTCTAGAAAAAGAGAGGCTTCCCTCAGTAGAGGCCTCACACTTGGGATTAGAGAAGTATTTGATACAACTATTTTAATGTTTGATTAATTTATTTAAATTTAACTAATATTTATTTAATAAATAAGTTTACTTATTTAGTAATGATATAACTAATTTAATTTAATTAGGTTTTATTATTACTCAGACATGGTCTGAGATCAGGAGGCAATTGACATTGAAAAGATAGTTTGTTACAGTTTCCAAGAGGAAAGATCATGTCATATTTTGGGGAACCACCAGGATTTGTCAGGAGGCAGAAGGAGCAAAGGGAAAATATAAATGAGAGCCTTTATTGTGCTTTCTGTGGGAAGGAACAGGCAAGACCAGGTAAGCAGCCTTAAGATTGGCTGCTTTGAATAATATCAGTAGGCTCTGGGGCAGAGGAGCTGTTCTTAGTTGCCTGGACCCTGGCCCTGGGGTGTTTAGAGCAGGTGCATAGTGGCTCAGAATGTGAAAGCCCAGTGAGAACTTAGTTAAAGAAGGTTTTGGGGATATGAGCTCTGGCTTGGTTGGAATTGGCCAGCCTTAGGAAGAGCAATCTCTCCAGGGTCTACAAGGCCCCAGATGTCAAGGCATCAGAAACACAAGTTAACACAATACTTTAACATCCATCTGTCAGGGGACTCCTCTCCCGGCTCACCTAGTTTGGTCCTGCTACAAAGGAAGGCATGCTGTTTTCTTCAGGCTCCTGTTAATTCACGTTTTCCTTGGGTGGGTGGAGGCTAGGTGGGTACTAAGTGGTATATTATGAGGGAACAGTTTATTGATTCGTATTCTCATCCATTTATTTAAATACTTACTAATCAATTATAAGTGTGCCAAACAAGATTGCCTCCTAAATGAGCAAATTTAGCCTTGGATGAAGATGCTGTAGAAGGGGGCATTTCAGTTACCATCAGACTGACCGTGGGTCACGGTCAGGGAACAACAGAACAGGGAAAGCTGGATGAAGAAGAGAGTCACTGTGGAGAGGGATGGACAGGAAGCTGGAAACAAACCACAGAGGTCTCAGAGTTAGGGGAAGAGTAGCCACAGGGAAAATAGTTGACTGCAAAGGGAAAGAGGCTCATCATGGACAAACTATTTCACAATGACTTTGGAACCAGCCCTATTTATTTTACCTTTCTGAAAATATCTGGTTTTCTAAGCAAAGAAAAATAAAACAGGGAGTGGGATGTATCAGAACCATGCCCCTAATTACAGCACTTTTACATTTCGGAGAAGAGAAAAAAGTGGAAGTAAAAACCTCTTTTTAGTTTGAACCTTTGGAGAACAGGTATTCTAGAAATCAAACAAACAAATGAATTTTAAAGTCCTACTCATATAAGTTTGAAAGAGAGTGCCCCTCTTTCAAATTATTTCCACAAGAGGCCAGTGTGTCCTTCTTTTCTTTCCATTCTGTCATTGCTCCCATGGGTTTGACAATCAAATGTCTGAGTTACATCGGGAGTAAAGGTAAGGAGGGAAGAGTGAGGACAAGGGGTTAGGTTACTTCTACAGGTTATGAAAAGTGTAAAATCCAGACATTAATGCTTCATTGTCCAGATAGTTTCACTAGTCTTTTTTTTAATTGAAGAATAATTGACATACAATAATATTGTTTCAGTCTCAGGCATACAACATCATGATTTGATATTTATATACATTATAAAATGGTCACCACGATAATTCTACATATCATCTGTCACCATACAGAGTTATTACAATATTATTAACTATATTCCCTATGTTGTACCTTACATCCCATGTCTTATTCATTTTCTAACTGGAAGATTATGCCTCGTAATCCCCTTCACCTATCTTATCCATCCTTCCCATCTACTCCATCTTTTAGATTTAGAGAAATGAAATTGAATGGTATTTGTTTCTCTCTGCCTGACATATTTCACTTACCCAATACCCATTAAGTCTATCCATGCTATTGTAAATTGCAAGATTTCATTCTTTTTTAATGTCTGAGTAATATTCCATTATATATACCACGTTTTCTTTACCCATTCATCTATCCATGGACAACTGGGCTGCTTCCATATCTTGGCTTCTGCAAATAACATTGCAGTGAATATAGGGATGCATATGTCTTTTCAAATAAGCGTTCTTATTTTCTTCAGATTAATACCTAGAAGTAGAATATCTAGATTGGAGGGTAACTCTATTTTTAATTTTCTGAGGAACCGCCATTCTGTTTTCCATAGTGGCTACACCAACTTAAATTCCCACCAACAATGCAGGAAGGTCCCCTTT